CCATGAACATGTACTTCGACTCCCACCTTGTTTGAAACCCCCGGTTCTCAGTGTCCACCTTCCGTTTTGCCATTTTTGATGGGTATCTGAAAGCTAATGTCACTGTTATGGGAACGACTGCTAGACTAATAAATATTTAAATAAAGCGGCCGACTGCTTGGCGCATCACCGTTGCATTGTGGGAAATGTAGTACTGGTGCGTGTAAAAGATCTGCGGGCTCTCGGCTTGCTGCAGTCCGCGGGCCGGTTCTAATAATAAATCAATATCATCCCAGGCGCCACTGAAAACATTCTCGCGGGCCAAATCTGGCCCGCGGGCCGGCACTTTGACATATGTGCTGTAGGTGAAGGATCTTAGCTGGAGTTACTTGCCTGTTGCAAGACGAAACTGAACTGATGTTATGGATGTGATGTGAGGATATCGGAGTAAAACCTTAGTTTCTGATGTTCTGTCAGATGACGTGACTTGCACACTGCCTGGTCTTGGTATTGTCCTATAAGAGAGCGTGTTGGTGACCTTTTACTTGATGGCACAGCATCAACTTAAAAGTTATTCATGTAATGCTTTCCCCCATTTCTCCTCCAGGTTATGATGTACGACCAACACAGAATAAGTACAGCTCTATAGCCAACGGGTACACGAGGACTTGATTACAGTCACTTCAAGCCTGATAGTTTGCCGGGGGTGGAAGCCCTCCCTCTCCCTTCTGCAGCCGCCCGTGTTGTCAATTGGCATTTCTTCTGACAACTTTCCCATCCCACCGCTCGGGTGAAGACGACTGGAGGTTCCCTGGAATCTCTTGTCTGCGTGACCTATTTGACCTTCAGCTCCTGTTCTACTCTTGTAGTGACGCTTCCCCGGATTTGTTTTCTTCTCTATTCGGTAAGACTTCGGCTACTGCACAATTAGACACTTTCTGATTCGCAATGTATTTAGGCATTGTCTGTTTTTTTTTTAAAGCACCAATAATATTGATCATAACTCCTCTAGTGTGGCAGCATGTTGTACACTTATTCATATGAACTTTACACCAGGCAGACAAACCAAATTCAGCCAAAATGATTCCGAATGGGTACCTGATCTTTGAGGATGAGAGTTTCCTGGATTCCACTGTGGCCAAAATGAATGCCCTGAGAAAGAGTGGTCAGTTCTGCGACGTTAGATTGCAGGTATGAGCTCCATGCAAGCACGCGCCACCCTCACACATGCGCTAGTCGTGTCACTCTGAATCCTGAGCGTTGAGTAGTTTAAGAAGGTTACAAAACTTTGTATCCTCCCACTTCCCATTAAAAATTTGTTTTTGATCCATGTACAAATAATGCGAGAACGAATACACAACAAAGCTTTGATGGACCCAAAAAGTAGTCATACGCAACCTCCAAAAACATTGAAAACAAAGTGTCTGGTAGCAGCACGATCCAAACATTCCGTATGTTTAAAGTACATGTGATAAATTGCACGTTCAACAGGATATGACAATGTTTATACTGCTCAGTCTCATAAAAAATTTGGTGCACCTTGTAAGGAAAAAAAAAAATCCCCAAATATATGTATATGTTCTTTGACAGGTATGTGGCCATGAGTTGATGGCCCATCGTGCTGTGCTGGCTTGCTGCAGTCCATACCTGTTTGAGATCTTCAACAGTGACATTGAACCTCATGGGGTGTCTCATGTCACTTTTGAGGACTTGGACCCGGAGGCTGTGGAGATCTTGCTCAACTATGCCTACACTGCCCAGTAAGTACCTGTCACTATTTTTTTTCTTCTTTTTTTGCTGCACTTTAATTAACCCTTTCAGGGAAGGCTTATCGGGTTAAAGGGTGCATGAAAGGGTTAAAATGGGAGCTTTTCTCTCATGAGAATAGTAGTCCTGAAATCAAGGAATATTTGCTTACTCTTCAACCTTGCTTTCTTTTTGTATCCCAGGCTTAAGGCAGATAAGGAGCTGGTCAAGGACGTTTACTCCGCTGCCAAAAGGTTCAAGATGGAGAGAGTCAAGCAGGTTTGATTTCCGTCAAATACTGTGAAATATTTGTCACTTCAAGCTTGACAGGACCGCGCGTACCATCCCGAAAGAGTAGTTGTGAATGTGTGACAATGTAATTTGGCACCTTTTCAGATTTGCGGTGACTACCTGCTGTCTAAGATGGATTCCCAGAATGTCATTTCTTTCCGGAACTTTGCCAGCTCAATGGGAGATGCCAGAGTTTTGGCCAAAGTGGATGCCTACATACAAGACCATCTCCTTGAGGTGTCTGAACAGGATGACTTCCTCAAACTTCCCCGCCTCAAGGTGAATATCATAGGAGAAAACATGCATGTTGTGTTCTTGACACTTATTCCTTCAATTGTTCTTGATTAATTTTAACGTCGACATGGAGTTATTGATATTTGGCTTGTACACGTGGACAAAATTGAAGGAAAAATCCAGAGTGGTCACAGATATTACTTGAACCTGGCAAAAGTAGTAATACATCAAAATAAAATAATGAACGTTAACCAATGAAAACGAGGCATTGCATTTGAATTGTCAACTAGAATTATAAAAAAAAAAAAAAGTCTGAAACATGCCTTGACAAAAATGAAGGGAAGCTTGCGAATAATTTTTAACTAAGGTGTGTCCTGTTTAATAACGATACTGTTTTCTTCAAATTTCTAATCAGTCAGTTGGCCTATTTAAAGGAAGAGTTCAGCGAGGCTTGCTCATTTTCTCACTCTGTATTTTTTTATTCAGGAAAAACGCATTAGCTTGCATTTTCAATGTTATCAATGTGTTTACACAAGACAAGACATCTTTATTTAGATAGCGCTTTCACCACAGATGCAGCTGTAACGAAGTGCTTTTCAGAACAGTTTACAAAAATAATACATTGTACAACATTTACAGTTGTACAATCGTAACAGCTATTCCTGCATCCGCTTTGTTGTTTGAAGCCTTAGAAGAAAGAGGAGAGAATCAAAGTCTCCTTTCAGTCACCAATCAAAGAAAACTTGCATGATGCCCCACATGTCTGGTACATTACGACTAAAATAGCATCTTCCACATTCCTCTGCATTTCCTAAAGGCACTTATATCAAGCAATCAGCATCAAGACCCCGCAAAGTAACATTGTTGGAAAACCGTGTGCCGAAGAGGTTTCATTTCTCCAAAGAACACACTGGCAGGCCCACCTGACAAGTGTCGCAAAATTATGCAGACTGAGAGAAAGATTGGGTCTAGGGGCAACAGTCGTATGACAGGTGGTCACGAAACACTGAATTCAAGCCCGGGTGCACCATGACAGTGCAGCATCATATGGGCATGTTTATCCTACATTGGTCTTGGGCCTATTTATCACTGACCAGGAATCATGGATTAGAATAAATATGGTCAGAATGCTCGCAGAGGTTATCACTCCAAGCAAAGCAGAGAAAGCACTTCTCATGAACATTATAATAATAATAATAATAATACATTTTATTTGAAAGCGCTTTTCATCATACTCAGACACTTTACAAGAGCTTAAAACACAGGATAAAAATGTACACTTAAAGACAAGCATACAGGATTTACAAAAAAATACATTTAGATGAACAAAAAAAGTGTAAAAAAAATTTGAAAAACTGAATATTTTTTTTCCATCATGTTTTGATTTTGCAGTGTTCCTTATCAATTTATATGTATGGGAACAAAAGCTAGGAACATTTATGCTTTACTCCCTCTTTAATTAAAAACTATGACTGCTACTCATTGTCAGAAAAAGAGCACATGTACAATCAAAGAGTTTAACTGGCGTGATAAGAGTTAAGCATCAAACAAAACAAGGTAAAACTGCAAGCACATCCTGTCCCTCCCAAAGGAACAGTGCCTTACAACCTGCGCTGAACAACGAACTTAATATTATTGTTTTGGAAAAATCAGTGAATACCGGTAACTCAAAATGCACCGGTCTGCATGGCAGTGTAATAATCGCCCATCATTCAATCGTCAAAAAAAAAAAAGAATTGGCACGGTCTCAACATTTAGATGGACATTTCTACTTGATGCCCACTGAACCAATTTAAAATATCAAAAGAAGTCTCTCCCTGGCTCTTTTGAGAGTATGAGGAAATGAGAGCAACAGATTAAGTTTAGGGTTTTTGTTTGTTTATAATTTTGTTGAACCACAAGTTAAAATGCATTGTCTGATTTACTTGGTTGATTTAAATTAAGCTTTTTATTTCTTCTTACTTTTGTCAGATTCAAGTTATTTCTGGGACCCCTGCGTGTTTTTCTTTCCTTAGCAGTTGGGTACCAACAATATTGTCCGTGTGTGTGTAATTATTTAGGCAATGGACTGACAAGTCTTAAGCATGTGCAATCAAGCTGGCCAAATATAGACGCTGAGTGGCTGATCTCGATTTCTGAACCTTTTATTTTTGTCCAATTACGCTGTTGCATTAGTACTTGACTATCCAGCAGCAGTCGTGCTTAGGCTAACACTGGATAAGCTTTGTATTTACCGTCTCCAGTTTTGACATTTAACAAGATTAACATGTCGGTTGCATATTCTAAAGGCAAAACCTGCTCAGAGTAGATTTGGGACAATTGACTAAAAATGTTGCAGTGAAGGTATTCATCGGCAGTTTTCAGTGTTTTTTTTTTTTTTTAAACACTCTTAAAATGATGAACTGACTGAAATATTCTTATAGACACACTCTTAAATACACAGGTGCGCAACCATTTTTGACCCGAGATCTATTTTTCATGCATTTTAAGAAGCAAACCCACTGTAATCGCCATTTGTTTTTTGTTGCCGAAGGGGGGTGGGGATGTGGTATGCCGCAGATGCGCAGTCATCCACTCTTGACAGCGGATAGGTCTAACTGGTGGTATTTAATTTTTGTGGCGTCCACCCAATTTGGGGATCAATTCTCCACCACCCCCACGTCTGGTTTGGGAGCATCGAGCGCAGACCAGTGAGCTAAAATTTCACATCTGCCAGTTCGGCTCAGCACCGTATTTGAAGGGATTGAAAGTGAGGTTGTACTACCATCTAAAAGTTGCTTACTTTGTGGACATGAGACTGGTAGGGTACACAAACTCTAGCGCACACAAACGCATTCTTTTTTTTTTTTTTAAGGCTCACGAAGGCCTGTTGACACTGCATTTTGGGTAGCGGGTCGCCTTGATGAACCCATTCATTGTGTATGTGCTGTGTGAGAGGGGGACACTGCCACATTGTGGCACGAGCCATAAGGTGGCCGTTGAAAAAAATGTTCCACTCGAACATGGCTTTGCAAATGGACTGAGATGAACTGGTCGGCCGATTGGCTTCAGATTGGTAAAAGCAATTGACCAAACATTTGGAAAAGCACTCGTGCTATTTTCTGGATGGCTGCGAAGCAACTACAGGTACTTCCAAATAGGTGAACGCTTGCAGTGTAGTGCCGTTGTCCGTGCACAACGGCGAACACAAAGAATGCGAAGTGAAGGGTAAAAAGGCCTTGAGAAGAATGTCAATGCCATGAGCATCATATGTGAGTTGGAATTGCCTTTCCTCCAGTGTGTGAACGAAACTCCCCTCCCTTTTTGTTGTCCACAGTTAGAAGTCATGCTGGAAGACAACCTGACTCTGCCCAGCAATGGCAAGCTTTACTCAAAGGTGCTAAACTGGGTGCAGCGTAGCCTCTGGGAGAATGGAGAGCAACTGGAACAACTCATGGAGGAGGTCAGTACCCGTGTGTGCGCCCCTTTGAATTGTGGGCGCGATTGTCCTCCTTTCCCTCCCCGCTTTGACTCCACCTGTTTTTGACATTAAGAAGTCATTAAGGGGGCTCCAAAAAGCTAGCATGCTGTTGTCATGCTGCTATGTCAGGATTGTTCTTTTTCCTCTGATTTGTTGAGGTTTTGCAGTAAGAAACTGTATTCCTGAACCATGCCACAAATTAGAGGTGAGACCAAAAGAGCCCCTATTTGCTCTTGTGTTTTTTTTTGTTTTTTTTTTCTCTCACTTCTCCTTTGGGTTGTGGTTGATTTTCTTATGACCCCATCTAAGTATTACAGTGCTCTTCTGCTGTGAAACGCAGAGAAAAGATTCTTGAAGGTTTGACCCTTGATTCATCTGTTTTTACTGCCACTTGACTATCTGAACAGGTGCATGTTTTTGTGTTCCAGAACTAACAGGCACTCCTCCCCGTTGATTTATCTCTCCTGTAGGGTTATTTGCAGCAGCAGGGGAGTGGACCGAGGAGCCGGGACTGATCCACCAGGGTAATGAATCAGAGAAAAGGAGAGGGGAGCACTACTGCATCTTAGCAGCCTCTCTTTGCAGCCAAGCAACGCTGTGCTCCCATCTGCCCATACCTATGGGCACACATGCATTCTCACTATGGAGGAACCCACTAGATTTGTTTCAGTACCACTACCATTACTGGCCAACAACCCAGATTGCACATCACAAAAAGGCATCCTATTTGAAGAGCACTCCCGTTTGGCTACAGAACATCGTTGGCCTTTACAGATAGTTTTTTTTCAACCCCTCATCACCCCCCCCCCCCTAAAAAAACACATTTTTGCTAGACATCGTTACCGTGGCTTTTGAATGTGGCAACTACAGAAAAACATTTTTGCAATTGATGATGACGCTAAACCATCTGGCCACAAAAATGTTGTCCCACGTGTGTTTGCCTGCCTATTGTGACTTGTATCACAATGAGCAGCTTCTTCAGCTGGATGAGCAGTTTCCAAGCAGCAGACTGGAGAATGAGGGGACAAATGCTGCCCCACCTGTCCTTGACGCTTCACAGAAGATCTCACCGACTTGGGCGTGTCGTTCTTCACTCGATGCCTCTTTTTGTTTTTTAGATGTAATTTAGGAAGAGAACCCTTGCCCGTCTCTCGGAATCTTCTTCAGCACAAACATTTACCCCTATGTGCCGTGGATGCAGTTTGTGTCTTTTAAGGAAACGCCTCAACCAAGAAACTCTTTCAAGGATGTCCCTCCCCGCTTTCCTCTTCTAATCCCCCCTTATGTCGGGGTATACCATGTTACCATGGAGACAGCCACATGGGTGTGTTGTTCCTGTTTGTCTTCCAGGTGCAAATGCTGTACTACTCACCTGACCACAAGCTGGTGGATGGAGGGCTGATGATTGAGGGGCAAACTGAGGTGTTTGGTGGCGAGGAGGACCACCTCCAGTTTGTGCAGGTATTCAACGAGCGTGCCCAGCTTCACTGCAATGAGCTCTAGCGCATTAGATCTGCAGTGTTTAGCGTAGCCTATGTTGGGCCATGCAAAACCAGACACACAGCCTGCGCCTTGCTAGAAAAGTCCAGTTCATGCAACTCGTTTACCTGGCTACTGTCTAACAACTTATTTTGGCAGGGCTTTAATGCCTGTGCGATTACAATTTTTCTGGTTGTGTACTGGTTGGCAGTTAGGGGTTCTCACATTGTCAGAGGCATATTTTGAGTAACGTTTCTGCTGAAGACTGGGTTTTTACTGCTGTGCAGTGTTGGAGTCAGATGTTGGGTCAGGTGCGAGGTAATGCGGGTCCACAATAGACCCAACCCGATGGCTGAGTAGGTTGAAGTCTTGGTTAGCTGGCGCCGGCCATCAGTTGGCCTACAGTGTGTGCGTTTTGTGGAGCGGGCTTGGCTTCTGTAGCTGCGCTATGCTCTTGCAGAAGAAGCCGGTACGAGAAAGCACCCAGAGACCGATGAGCTGCAGTTCCTCGGGAAGCCTTTCACCCTCCAACCAAGCAGCAAATGCCCCCAAACAAACTACCAGGAGAGAGTGGAAGTATATCGCCTCTGAGAAGACTACGAGTAAGCCCGTTTAAGAGCGCAGCGTGCACGCCGTGTTGCCCGTTTTCTCTAACGCCAAGTTTCCCTCAGACAACACCTACCTGTGTCTGGCTGTGCTGGACAGTGTGTTGTGTGTGATCTTCTTGCACGGCCGCAGCAGCCCCCAGGCCTCTCCCTCTGCCACCCCCTGCCTGCTGAAGAGCCTCAGCTTTGAGGCCCAGCCCGAGGAGCTGGAAGAACACCAGCTGTCCCCAATGCGTTATGCTCGCTCTGGCCTGGGCACAGCAGCCATCAACTCTAGGCTCATCGCAGCAGGTTAGTACACAAGTGAACAAGGTTCAAAATCTTTTTTCCCCTTCAAGGAGCAGTTTTGATACCCAATGATTTTTGTTTTGAGGAGCAAATTTTGAGCCTTTTTTTTTTGAGTGTGGGGGCAGTTTAAAACCCACGGACCTGAGGCAAAGATTTTACTATCTGACAGTATAACAAATGATCAATTAGTTTTCTTTTTCACATAAGCAGCTTTTAATTTCTAAAAATCACATGTATAGCACCAAACTATTTAGAAATCTAGAAACATTCTAAGTGGAGCAATTTCAAACAAATACACATTTTTGAGGATTTTAGCAACGCTAATTTGAAAAAAACAAAACAAAAAATAAAACAAAATTAATATTCTCCTGGCTGACGTAAGCCATAATGGAACATATTTCATTTCCTGTTCTGTTAGTGTGATTTTTTTTTTTTCCAGAGTCCAGACACTTAAAAATTCTTCTTTGCTGAGGAAAGTTGGATATGCCCAAACCCAGCAAAACTTTATGGGACCGTCTCCACCGTTCAATTATTAGAAAAAAAATCTTCAAAAATCTCATTCTCTGTTTTGGTATTCAAAATTCAATACTTGTTTTTTTTTTTTGCTCCTAAAATGTGATGCAAAACCACTTACTTTGAACCTCACATTCAACGTGTTCGAAACAGCTATTGGAAGCTAGTTCTTTTTTTACCCGGCGACTCTCCGGTCCCACATTGTAAAATTTGGGCCCACGTCTCCAGAAATGCCGCCGCATTCGGCTAGTATGACCGGTATCATGAAAACAAGACACCTGATATCGATTACATTTGGATGAGAATCCCAAACACAAATGTAATAGGAAGTACATTTGAATAAAAGATGACCAATTGGAAAAAGTGACATTCATCCATACATAAGGCGCACTGGTTGAATTTTGAGAAAATTACAGGATGTCAAATATGCCCTGTGGTCCAGAATTATATTAGTGGAATACTGCCAGGCTTTTCTGCATAAAATGGCTGCCTCACGGTAACTTCCTGTAGAACGAACAAACAAAACAGGAAAGCACATGCCAGTGACAGTTCGTAGTTTTTGCTGAAAATGTTTGTCCTCCAAATTTGCTGAGCTTCAAAAGGTGTTTTGATGATTGAGGTTCTACTGTTCATGACAGACTTTGTTTTTGACCTTGTGCAGGCGGCTACAATCGAGAGGAATGTCTGAGGACTGTCGAGTGTTACGACCCCAAAGAGGATCGCTGGACCTTCATTGCGCCCATGCGAACTCCAAGGGCTCGTTTCCAAATGGCTGTGCTAATGGTATACTGCCATCTTCTCCCATTAGCGTGTCATCATTCACACATGATCCAGTTATCAGTAGAGATGAAACTTTAAATCCAGCCCTCCATCCATCCATTTTCTGATCCGCTCATCCTCACAAGTGCTTGGAGCCTATCCCAGCTGTCTTCGGGCAGTAGGCGGGGGACACCCTGAATCGGTTGCTCGCCAATCGCAGGGCACACAGAGATGAACAACCATCCACGCTCACACTCACATCTTGGGACAATTTCGAGTGTTCCATCAACCAGCCACGCATGTTTTTGGAATATGGGAGTAAGCCGGAGAACCCACACAGACACAGGGAGGCTGGAGCTGGACTCGAACCCTGCACCCGCCGCATTGAGGACCACATGCTAACCAGTCGACCACCGGGCTGCCCAATTTTAAATCCCAATCAAAATTATCATGACCAAAATTGTCGTGGTGTTGCTAAGGAAATGTAAAAAACAAAATCATCCCAGTGGAAAACATTGCAACACATTTTATTTCGATAGTTTGCAACCCAATGTACTTTCTAATTTTAGAAATGTTTTAACAGCAGCAAAAGTAAATTCTCACACATGTAAGACCAAAAAACTGACTCGTGATTCAAATTAAAATTTCCACCCAGCAACTACACAGATGCATGTAATTTCAAGACAATTTGTTTTGAGGCAGACATATTTCTAAGCATAAATTGAAGTTGGCTGTGTTGAAGCTTGCAAAGTTCAATTCAAGCCAGGTGATTTCGGCTCCACCATGTGGGAGCTCTTTCTGCGAGTTGAAGTGCTGATGTCAGGGATACTTGCACTTGAATGCTAATTCCCCGTTTCCTACAGTACAAGAATGCGCGAAGTTTGCTTCTGCTTTTGGGTTTCTTTCTTGATCCATCTTTCGCGTACGTGTGGGTGACTGGTGGTATCGCATCACCTGACGGACCCACTATGTCGTCCGGCAAATCTGAGTTTCCCCTATTCCACATGATGCGCACACGACATAAATTCTTGCTGCGCATAGAATTCAGGGCGCATCATCTTGTGATTGCTCCATTTAGTCACCTGTCGCTACTGCTGCGAAGCAAGCTAGCTTGGCGCAGGGGTACGTGGTATGTGCGTTCAAAGAAGCCTACACCCGCACTCGCTCCACATGCCATCTACCCTGCCGGCGCCTTGATTAGTTTCACATACATACACCATTTAGTCATCAAGGCCGCCTTGTTCGAGCAGGCACAGTCTCCGTTGGTTTTGCTTTTTTCCCCCTTGTTTTGCAAAGTAAAAACGGTGACCGGAATTGGCCAGAAAATGCAGAGGAAACTACCCTGTTGTGTCCAGGCCAAGACCAGCTGTGGCGACACCCCCTGATTTGGAGTGCAACTGCAACACCTTTTCAAAACAAAACAATGGGACGCACTCGAGTGTAAAAGGAAACTGCGCGATCACTGCATTACCCACGCGGGTAAAAGTAAACTGCAGCATAAAGGAGACTTTGCACTGCTAGCTAGCTCTTCTACTCCCTCACTCAACTTTGCGCAAAGCACAGTGGTCATATTCCATTTCACATGTGAAATACGAACAGTTTGAATGTTGATCAGTTTATTCGTAAACAAATTTTGTTCAGTTTTGTTGTCTTTGGGAATGTTAAAAACAACTATTGCAGTTTGTTCTTTCTTTTTTTGCTCCATCTGTGCCGAACAGGGACAGCTCTACGTTATCGGAGGTTCAAATGGACATTCCGATGAGTTGAGCTGTGGGGAGATGTACGATCCAGTCAGTGACGAGTGGGCTCAGGTTCCCGAGCTCAGGACCAACCGCTGCAACGCAGGTGGGTGCGGCTTGCATGGATTCATTCCCAGCAATCTCCTTGACTGAACGCTGGCTCACATCTGCTCTGTATTTGAAGGCGTCTGTTCCTTAAACAACCAACTCTATGTTGTGGGAGGGTCAGACCCCTGTGGGCAGAAAGGACTGAAGAACTGTGACGCCTTTGATCCAGTCACCAAAACCTGGTCTAGTTGCGCCCCCCTCAACATCAGTATGTGTTATTTCAACCTCCGCTCCAATTCCGATGATCTCTGCTGGTAGTCCAAGCTAAATGATTGCTTTGTTTTCAGGACGGCACCAGGCCGCAGTGTGCGAGTTGGATGGTTTTATGTATGTGATCGGAGGGGCTGAGTCCTGGAACTGCCTGAACACAGTGGAACGCTACAACCCTGAGAACAACACCTGGAACCTGATAGCACCCATGAATGTGGCCCGCAGGGGGGCCGGCGTGGCCGTCTGTGCCGGTAAGATCACGTCTTTCTCAACCTCATGCATCCACAGTAACCACCTTCTCACAAATGTTCGTGGAATTACAGTGAAAACCAAACATTCATCAAGATCTGATGCTATTTTTTTCCCCCAGGGTCCTCTTCCCATGTATTAACACACCCGAGCAGTAAATGACTTCCAATCGGATTATGCTTAAATGATTGAGTATTGTAGGTTAGGGTTATGCTAAAATAAAGGCAAATGAACCACGAATTAATATGTACGGCCAAACACTGACAGCTTCACACTGTTCTAAGAAACTGTTAGGGCGTGATCATGAGTGCGTATCAGCAGTAATGCAAACAAATCACTCAGACTTTTGATCCACAAAACAACATGTAAACATGGACTGCACTTCTCAAAGAGGAAGTCAACCCAAAATTTGTACTTATACAGTGGTACCTCTACATAAGAAATTAACTGGCTCTGGAAGAAATTTCTTAACTAGAAAATTTTTGTAAGTAGAGATGCGTTTTCCAAGTAAATGCCCTAATCCCTTTCTAAAGCATAAAAATGCAGCCATCTCGTTACCTCTGCGTCCCGCGTCCTAGACGCATAATTTTCCCGCGGGACGCACAGTTCCAAATGTGCGTTTTTGGGACGCAAGGAAATTTCTCAGTCAAAACAAAACAAAAAAAAAAACTACGGTAAATCTTTTTTTTCCAGCAACGATTGCAGTTTGACCATCACCGCCATTGTTGTTTTGATCTCGCATTTAATAATCTCGCGTGACGAGATTTCCGTTTTTGCGAGACGAGATTGGCGAGCTCGGCCTTCGACCTCGCGCGGAAAGCAGACGATTGGCAAGTTGTGTAACGTTAAAACAAGTGTTGCGAAAGTTTATTGCGGAGACATCACAGAGGAAGCAGCTAAAGTTGGATAGTTTTTGCGATGATAAATTGACTTTGAGAAAGCCTTGCATCATTGGAAGCAGAGTAAAAGAGAGGAGAATTTATGAACTCAAAGACTGAACCATGGGATGAAATAACAGCCTATTTCTCAGCAAATCTTGTATGCCTGAATAATTTTAATTTTTGCAGCATTTGTTTATAAGAAATAAACCTATTTCAACGTATATTGTTGTTTGTGTTATTATCATATGCAATTGAATAAGTAGACCATTTCAGAATTCAAAATTTGGGACTCTCTAAATGCATAATGGGACTCATACTTTTCTGATCAGCAAGTCCCTGGGACTCGCAGGGCTCAAACTGTAAAATTATCACTGAAAATGCATCAAAATATTGAACAAATACATGTTACAATTAGATTATCGCACAATAAATTAGCATTTTGCATAATGTAAAAAACAAACAATAGAGTAAAGAAAGTTTTGCATAATGTAAAAAACAAACAATAAAGAATAAGAATGATGCTCCTTTAACTTTTAATTGCGTCATCGTTTTTTGCCCTCTTTCGTTCATGTTCTCTCTCAGAAGTGGTTTTTGCCTGGCGTTGTGTAAAGAACTGCTCTGAGGTTGTTTGCTTTGGTCGGCTTTTAACAATCCTTTGAAAATGTCCAAGGCAAAAATCAGCATAGTGAGCGATCGCCTGACTGGTGAACACTTTTTCTGGGTGCTTCACATTTAAAGCTGTTGGAACACTTCATGTCCCAGGCGGCGAATGACGAGGATGCTGCATAGGCACTATTCTATCTACACACACAGACACAGGGTAGAAGTCCCTCTGAGCCAATGGAATGCCAGGATGATGCTCGGCTATAGCCAATGGCAGAGCAGCTATAAGTATGTTGCGTTCAGGAAACTGAGAGCTGCGACTAGCGGCCCATACTGTATTTTTACCTTTCGTACCTATCTTCACATTTCTTTTGTAACACGAGGCAATATTTTCCTGTTGAGACGTTTCGTAACTTGAAAATTTCGTATGAAGAGACGTTCGTAAATAGAGGTACCACTGTAGTATGTTCTATGCAGCCGCATTAGTCAAAACAGCATTCTGATTATTATCCATCCATCCATTATCTGAGCCGCTAATCCTTTCAAGGGTGGCTGGTGTGCTGGAGCCTATCCCAGCTGTCCTCGGGCAGTAGGCGGGGTACACCCTGAACTGGTTTGCCAGCCAATCGCAGGGCACACAGACAAACAACCATCCTCACTCACACTTCGGGACAATTTAGAGTGTTCAATCAGCCTGCGATGCATGTTTTTTTGGAATGTGGGAAGAAACCGAAGTACCCGCAGAAAACCCACACACGGGGGGAACATGTGAACTCCACACAGGAAGGCCACAGTCGGATTCCAATCCTGCACCTCTGCACTGTGAGGCGGCCGTGCTAACCAGTCGTCCACTGTGCCGCCTTGATTAATATTATGTTTGTGAAATATGAATTAGAGCAGTGAAATGAACCCGTTTATGCCCATCTCGGGTTGGCCATTTTGCCTGTTGCAGTCGACTGAAAAATAACATATGACAGTTGCTCAGATAATGACCAATCATGGCACAGTTTCAGAAAATAGGTGAGCTCTGATTGGTCATTAGCTGAGCAACTGTGAGGTCATTTTCAGTGGACAGAAATGGATGCCCCCCGAGATGGCTAAAACCGAGTGGATTTTGCTGTTTGCCTGTATACTATAAAAACCCATCAACTGCTGTCTTACAAATCCACAACTTGTGCTATCCAGGCAAACTCTTTGTCGTCGGCGGCTTCGACGGCTCCCACGCGCTCCGCTGCGTCGAGGTCTACGACCCGGCTCGAAATGAGTGGAGGATGCTGGGCAGCATGACCACATCCCGCAGCAACGCAGGCGTGGTCATGCTGGGCCACAGCATCTACGCCGTGGGCGGTTTTGATGGCAACGACTTCTTGAACACAATGGAGGTCTACAACCCAGAAGTGGATGAGTGGAGCGACTGCATCAGGCCCCTCTTTCCATGCTCTGAGTGACGCAGCGCTGCACCCTTTTCCAAACTAACAGGCTTAGTGACATAATCGTGTTTCGTGATATCCGATATATATATATATATATATATATATATATATATGTATATGTATATGTATGTATATGTATATGTATATGTATATGTATGTGTGTGTGTGTGAGTGAGAGAGAGAGAAAAAGAGATGAGTGGAGGTTGGGGTAGGTTGGAGGATTCCGAATGAGGGGTCTTCAGTGAAGACTGGCTTTAGGGTGGGGCAAGGTGGGGTGGGGCTTGTTGCCCAAAGCAACACAAATATTGCGTACATTGTTTTACGTGCTGTACATAATGTTTGTCTGTCATATGCCAACAATTAACACCTAGTGCTTTTTTTTTTCTCTATATTTGAAACTTGAGAGGGTTTTCACATGAGTCAACTACTGGTCACTTGGAAAGTGTGAGTGTGATGATGAGCATTGAAGTTTTGTGATGGGGACGTCATTTTACTCAATACTAAAAGGTGGATGATTAAGCCTTATTTAACACTTAACAACGATTGAACTACCACCCCCTGCCCCCATTTAACCAATCTGGTTTGTGTTTGACATCTTAAATAACAACCTTTTTATATTTTTATACACTGCGGATTTCTCGAAAATAGATCTTAGCAGGTGGCTTAAATCAGTGGTAGGCAACTCTGGTCGGGGTTTCCAGCACAACTGACTCAGGTGATCAGGATTATTTTCAAGCTTCTGCAAAGCTTGCAGATGGGCTGATCATTTGAATTCGGTGTGTTGGGGGAAAGACAAACCTCATTAAAAAAAAGCGGCACTCGAGGACCAGAATTGACTACTCCCGCCTTAAGTCACGACCAGTGCCAGTTTGAATTCTTTTTCTGTGCTCACGTCACATGCACAGCCAGGCTTCTGCTTACCTAGTTTTTGCTATTTAACTCAAGATGTGGATGCAGTTACTGAAAATGTTTGCTTTGGCGTTTGTGCCAAGCAATGACAGATTTTTCCTGAAGGAGTGTTAATGAAGACAGTTCTCACATTTGTAATATTTCTTAATAAATCATTTCAATTGAATTTTTGTCATGACTCTTTGACCTGTTCATACAAATGGGGATCATGAAACAGGCGGCAGCGGACAAAGTTACCAGGGTCCCACTGTTAGTACTGATCAACTGAACGAGGCGCTGCGAGACTTGACCAACATGACAAATTGGTTCTGACTGTCAATCTTTATTTAGCACTGAGTTAATAGGGCAGGCCAAGTCTGATCTTTCATCTCATGTGACCATGCTAAGATGTTAATGCAGCTTAAACAAATGGACCTCAACAGAATAAAGTTACGGTGACGTATGCTACTCCCCTTGGCAAACTCTCCCCAAATACTACGTACACTATAATTGGTAGTGGTCTTAAGTGCATTAACACACCGTTGACCCAATCTTGATTCTTCTACAATCATGCGGTCACATTGAATTCCCTTGTCAGAGATTAGCCTAGTTCAGGGGTCAGCAACACGCGGCTCCGGAGCCGCATGCGTCTCTTTAGCACCGCCGAGTGGCTACCTGGAGCTTTTTAAAATGTTTGAAAATGGAAAAAAATGGAGTGAAAATATATTTTTTAAATATGGTTTCTGTAGGAGGACAAACATTCTTCACATTTTCCAATTGTGTAAAAATATGTCGAATATTACATTTCAACATTTCTGTCAATGAAGTTTTGCGACATAGCCTGCGACACATCTATTAGCAGAGTGGGATGCCAGGCAGGTGGCTGTTGTAAGAAGAAAGGCAATCTGAAGGACCGAGAGAAGCATTTTAAAACGGTACGCATCAGCTATGAAAGTTAAAACGCTGCAAAAGTGCGTCCCGTGCCTCGTTCATCTTAGCTGCCATTATTAGCTTATTATTATAACTAGTTATTAGCTGTTCTGGCTCCATTCCTGTTCATCCTCTACACCTCGGACTTCAGACACACCACTCCAAACTGCCACCTTCAGAAGTTCTCCGATGACTCTGCGATTGTAGGCCTCATTACAGAGGGGGACGATCGGGAGTACAAGGGACTGATGAAGGACTTTGTGGACTGGTGCCAGCAGAAACCTCCAGATCAACCTAAACCTAGGAAAACTAATGAGTTGGTTGTGGATTTCTGCAGGAAACAGTCCTCACCAGCACTGATGAACATCCAGGGTATGGACATAGAGAGGGTGACCTCCTACAAGTACCTAGGTGTTCTTCTAAACTAGGAGCTCAAACAGCCGAGAACTGCGGTGTGTGGTGTCCTCGATAATGTTCCAGGCACCTGGAGGAGTAAATATCTGCCAGGGAGGGAAGAGCGCATCCAACTATCCTCTGTGCTGCTTTAACTGTCCTCTGACACCTGACAGCACTAGGTAGCTCCTTCAGCCAGAGACTGTTACACCCGCGCTGCAAGAAGGAGAGATACCGCCGCTCGTTCCTACCGACTGCTGTCAGGCTGCTGAATAAAAAATAAAATGATGTGAAAAACAATTGTAAATAGCACTGCGACCTTATCCATATCTGTATTTATATTGCACTTAATTGAACGGCGTTTGTTTTTTTTTCTTCTTTCTACCCACAATCTTGCTGCTGTAGACTGTAAACTTCCCCAGTGTGGGACAAATAAAGGATATCTTATCTTATGGCTGTTGCTCATTATGGCATGCATGTGTAAGTGCGTACGTGTGCGGTAACGGGTCGATCGCGGGAGGCTGGTTGATCGAAAAATAGAGCTTTGGTCAAAAAAGGTTGGGCACCCCTGCTCTACATGATGCACTGCAGGGAAAAAAAATGTTAAATCGGAAAAGCTCATTGTGTATTTGTAGCCAACTTAGTCATTTTGATAGTAGGCTAATATTGACATACAGCGTGTGTTGCCTTTCTGAGGCTTTTAATTTGTTGCGGCTCCAGACACATTTGTTTTTTTGGTCCAATATGGCTCTTTCAACATTTTGGGCTGCCAACCCCTGGCCTAGTTAAACTAGCGTGACACCTGATGCTTCTGGCTGAGCGTCAAAGCCGCCATTATCCCTCATTACTGTCGTATCCATTGCATGTGCACTCTACAGGTCGGCTTTATCGAGGAAAAGAAAAGCATTCGAATACTCACTTCATGCATTCACGAAATTAGAGGCTTGAAGATGAAAGTGTTGTGTCAATGGAAAAACTGTAAAACTCATTGTATATAATCTGGTGACTGCAAAACGGCTCTTGCTAACATTAGTCTTGTGAAGTAACATGGTTGCAGTCCCAGTCCTTCCAAAATTTGTCTCTGTGTCAGATTGCAGTAAGTGGCCGATCACATTTACAGTGTAATAAATTGATTTTAGTTGAAACTATCATTCCTTTCAAAGCTAAACAGGTCTTGGGGCTGCAAATAAATAAAACACTGATGTTGAACAATTTTTTTTCATCATTAAGCTAAATTTTTTTTTCAGGGGTCGTTAAATGTTTCAAATAGTTGCAAAGATGTTCCCCAGACATTCCCAAACAACTTTGATGGTCTCAAGCGGTTATTCTTGTCACCACAAATTGTTAACATGTTCAAAATTTCTTTGCAACAAGAAAAACTGAGAACATTAAAATTGCTGGCGCTCGATTTCGACGTTTGCGAGGTGCGCGCGCGCACACACACACACACACACACACACACACACACACACACACACACTTGCAAACCTTCACCGCTCGTGAGATCATGGCCTTGAGCAGCTAAAAACTGCTGTTTGAAACAATAGCCAATGTGCAACATCACCATTCACAAATGCTTTCCTTTCACAAAGAGATACACAGGTTGAACATAAACTATTTTGGATATTTAGAATTTATTACATTCATTTGGTCCAAAAATACATGAAATAACTAATATGAACAAATAAACAGGCCTTCAGTCATGTGGATGAGGAACAAGAACAACAGAACCTGTGGCAGAGTGGTTGCTACAGACTAAAGTGTCTTGTACTCCAACATATCCCGGACAAATCAAAGATAGCGTCCAGCTACCAAAGAGCGCATTTTGGATTCCATTTTGGAACCCTTTTTGAGCTCAATGTAAACACACCAAGCACTCACACAATCTGGCGGGAGCATTCGAAACCAGTGTGAAATGAGGACCAGCGATGTCAATCAAACCTGAGGCATAACCTGGACCTGGACTCAACCCGGACCTGGACTCACTGGTCCTGTGAAGTCTACATGTTTAGATTGAGGTGCTGACCCGTGGTCTGAACACAGTGGTCCAGGGCGTCCTTGAGCTCTGTCAGCTGGTTCACGCCAACTCTCAGCTTCTCTCTGGTGACATAAAGACAGGAGTTAAGCTAGCCGCACACAAACACAAGCTTCAGAGCCATTCAGTTTCAGACCCAATATTTTGTTGGGGTTTGCATTTTTTGGCAAGTTTAAGATGGTTACAGTTTACCATGTACAATCTCAATTCCAATGAAGTTGAGATGTTGTGCGACATAAAAACAGAATACAATGATTGCAAATCTGAAAAAGGTGAATGCTCATCAAACATCTGTTTGGAACAGGTAAACAGGTGCCACGATTGGCTCAAAAAGGAGCCTCCCTGTCTTGGGCAGTCGTTTACAAGCATAGATGTACAATTACAAGGAATTGAGGGATTTCATCATCGGCGGTCCATAATATCATCAAAAATTCGGAGCATCTGGAGAAATCATTGAATGTACGCGCAAGGCCAAAAAGCAACATTGAATGCCTGTGAGCTTCGATCCCTAAGCTGGCACTGCATTAAAAACTGACATAAACGTAGAAAGGATATCACCACAAGGGCTGGAACACTTCAGAAAACCAATGTCAGTACTGTATTTTCACAACCATAAGGCGCACTTAAAAGTCTGGAATTTTCTATAAAATGGCCCAATAATGCTGGTCATCGCCTTGTGTTCTAAAATCTGTGAATGCTGTTGCAGGCCTGAGGATTTCATGGTAACGATCGTTACCGATAGCGTGTCGTTTCCGTGGCGTCATTTTGACGGGACCGAAAAATCGTTTCCCATAAAAGTCACCGCACACGAGTTGACTGAACGCGATCGAATCTCTCCTGTGTGATCAACGCGATTTCACTGTGCCTGTATGTGTGTTTGTGGTGTGGCGTGTGAGTGTGTTTCTTCTAATTTACTTTTGTTTTGCATTGTTTTTTCAGTGTTGGGGCGGAACAGATAACGTTATGTGCGCATATGGGTTGCTCTTTAGTCCGCAAACTGAGAAAGCGCGCGGATGACAGTTTGAGATGGCGACGAAAAAAAACACACAAAAGTCCCATTGGGTAATCCGACTGAACCGAAAAACGGTCAACGTGAATTTCCGAAATCCTCAGGCCTGTGTTGTGTGACTTCGATGAGGGGTCCGCTTGATTGATGTTGTACCAACATGTTGCTTATATCAACGAAAGGCGCACCTAACTGAGGATAGCATCCATGTGGATGGTAAAGTGGGAGGGGTGTCTGTGAAAGAGGACACAAAAGGCACACCTCCAGTAGGTATATATAGTATATAGTATGTGTATTGTGCAAAACAACATCCCGAAAATGGCACCTAGGAAGAGACACGCTGAGGAAACAATTTAAACTGCAAGCTGTCAGTTACGTGGAAGATCATGGGAATCGAGCAGCCGCGAGAGAATTCAAGATCAACCAATTCGTGGTGCTTGGTGCTTTTGTTTTATGAAATGGCGCCATCTATCCATCCAGGCAAGGACGACCGTGGCGCAGCAACATCCGGCAAATTACAAGGAAAAGCTGGCTATCTTCCGCTCCTACTGTAGTAACAAGTAAAGTGTAATGTTATGCCTTACATAAAATGAAGATGCTTTCTTGGAGATTTTAATCCTTTATTCTGCCGGCTCTGCCGGCCTCACTTGGCTTCCATTAGCGGATGCTCTATCAACTTATCCCCACATTCCAACAAAGGAATGGGCTACGGCAAGTGATGAGGGACAAGCATACTTTACATTTTGATAAGCAAGAAAAAGGTTACCGACCAACCACAAAGCAGCCCAACAATATCACTAACACGGACGAGGTGGCGTTCACTTTCCCGCTGAACCAGACTGTGGAGAAGACGAGGACCGGCACGGTAGCAATACGCACAACGCGAGAAATCGGCTTTTACTGTCGGGCTTGTTTGCGATGGTAATGGACAGAAACGGCCGAAGTGTAGTTGAGAGCGGCTTGGGAGTGCTAGCGAACACAGCTTGACTAAGACTTGGAGGCAGCGCCGGCTGATTTACACCACCATTTTTCAATGGATTGTGTCTGTTTGCACTGTTGTTTGAGCGCGGCAAGAACACTGACTCTGACAATGACGCGAGTGAACCTAGCGTCTTTGTGAACTTGCCCAGCTGTTCATTTTGGATACAGAACATTAGCACTTGGATGGATTTGAAGATGAGGGTTGATCAAAAAATGACGGGAGTACATTGTGAAATACTTCAATAACATACAATAGAACTTACTTTTTGCTCCCGCTGTCTTTTTCAAAACATATGCTAGCGTGCATGCATGCTACTGTATTTTTGTATAAAGCTAGCTTACCATGCCTGCGTCCAATAATACAATGCGTCTTGGGTATGTATTAAATACAGAAATAGCACCCCAAATACTAACTTTTTTGGAATGCGTTGCAGCCATAAGATTCTAAGTCAATGATTATTTGCTAAAAACAATCAAGTTTTAATTTGAACATTAAATATCTTGTCTTTGTAGAGTTTTCAATTAAATATAGAAATGCACATGATGTGAAAATCATTGTATTCTCTTGTTATTGATGTTGAACAAAACATCTCAACTTCATCGGAATTGGGTTTGTAACTGTCTAAAGGCATTTTCACAGTAATTGACAATGAGACAACTCAAATTCAAAAAATCATGGAATCATTTCACAACATCAACAGAGTCAAAGAACACACTCGCATTCCTGAGTAGGAATGCCAGAGTACACTAGAACAGACAAGCCTCCAATATCCTGGAATTAGATTCTTTGTCCAGTTGAAACCATGGTCAACTTGCATCAGAATGATCGGAAGAGAAACACACAGCAAAAGAAAACCAACTCCTGATCCAAAGCACATCATCGGTCAAACATGGTGGGGGCTGTGTTTTGGCATGAGCATGGAACAGCAACCTCAAAATTGGGTAATGCCTTCCAGTCACGGAAAGCAAAGGATCTTTTCAACTAAGTACCTGGTATATAACAAAGTGACGGTAACTGAGCATACCTTCTTGTGCTGCTTACAGTAATACCGTGTTAGTTTTGCGGACAGTTTGTCACCACATAAGTAGGGTTCACATAAAAATGTTGCCATAGTGCTCAAATGAGGAGCAGAGGTGTTTTTTTTTTTTTTTTTTAAATAGACGCTCATGTTTCCCCCCGACCCACTGGCCTCATGGATGAACATAACGACTGCTGGCACATCTGGGAAAAGTTATCGTTCATATGTGAAGATATGCCGTTTTAGTATAACAGATTTTTAGTTTTTGGTGATTACAACATACCGGGGCTATACAATGGCATGTTGTTAAAACATCCATCCATCCATTATCTGAACTGCTTATTCTCACGACGGTCACGGGCTTATTAAAATTAATTTATATTTATGCCAATCGGGTTGCATGGCCAGCTTGAAAACGAGTTACCCACCTCTGACCCTGTACGGGACCCTGTAATCAGCCAGCTAGCTAGCTTAGCACACTTGTCCATAGCAGCTGACCGCAAGAACACATTTTGCTGGATCATCAGACCCGCCGAGCAATGACATGGACATAACTGTCCTACCGGCGGCTCTCCTATGATCTCCATTATGCGACAAAACGTGAAATACCGTGACATGACACCTGTGTGTGTTTGTACGCGTGGGTGACTACAGGGGGGTCATCAAGCAGACTAGAGCAGGGGCTCTCCTCCAAAAGGGAAAAAAGTTTTTCATGTCATGAGTCAATCTGGGGACTGGTGGTTGTTTTTTGCTGCTAAATGCTATCTTGGTTGACGATTCAACAGTTACAAAAAAAAAAAAACCTTCCTTGCTCTCAGTTCTCTATGCCTGCTTCTTGGTAAAGGAAGCTGCCTGCGTACAGTCAAACAGATCACAATGATATTACCCCACATTGTTTTTATTTCACCAGCTGTGGGTGTGCGGGTGTTTGTTCAAAACTTTATTTGGCTGCATGTCTGCTTGTTTTGCACATGAGTGTGACATAGTAAGTACGTTCCAGATACCAAATGGCCGTCACCACCGCAAAAATTTCACTTCGACCTACGTATTTGCTATACTGCTGCTTATTGTGAAGTGAGTTGAGGTTAACATTCACTGCCAACATACAGCGTGAAATGAACTCGAGACAAGACGAGTATTTCTGCTTCTGCTAGACGCACGACCCGTTTTCCTGTTGACAAGTCAATGAAATCATCCATATGTGCCAGTGCTCTCATGGGGAGTGTCGAAAGATGGAAACAACACCGAGCTGTGGCATTGAAAGGGAAGTTATTCTTCAAAGAATTTGACACGACACATTAGCGCCCTCCTGTCACAGGACAAAAGAATGAAAATAAAAGGTCACGTTGGCAGCAGGACATTGTCGGCAGCGGCTGCAGATGCAGCAAGAGAACATGCTGCTTGTTTGCTTCCGCAGATGCAGCGAGGGAACATGCTGCTTGTGGCGGCTCTCCTATGATCTCCATTATGCGACAAAACGTGAAATACCGTGACATGACACCTGTGTGTGTTTGTACGCGTGGGTGACTACAGGGGGGTCATCAAGCAGACTAGAGCAGGGGCTCTCCTCCAAAAGGGAAAAAAGTTTTTCATGTCATGAGTCAATCTGGGGACTGGTGGTTGTTTTTTGCTGCTAAATGCTATCTTGGTTGACGATTCAACAGTTACAAAAAAAAAAAAAACCTTCCTTGCTCTCAGTTCTCTATGCCTGCTTCTTGGTAAAGGAAGCTGCCTGCGTACAGTCAAACAGATCACAATGATATTACCCCACATTGTTTTTATTTCACCAGCTGTGGGTGTGCGGGTGTTTGTTCAAAACTTTATTTGGCTGCATGTCTGCTTGTTTTGCACATGAGTGTGACATAGTAAGTACGTTCCAGATACCAAATGGCCGTCACCACCGCAAAAATTTCACTTCGACCTACGTATTTGCTATACTGCTGCTTATTGTGAAGTGAGTTGAGGTTAACATTCACTGCCAACATACAGCGTGAAATGAACTCGAGACAAGACGAGTATTTCTGCTTCTGCTAGACGCACGACCCGTTTTCCTGTTGAC